TATATTTAAGACCTTAAATATATTCTTAAGATCATGAACCAATCAGATAATCGGATTAGTATCTTAAGATGTTACCTATACAGCACAAAATTTGCAGCAATATCGTTGCTGCAAATTTTGTGCTGTATATGCAATAATGCTACAATATTGCTGCAACAACATTGTTGCTGCAAGTTTTGCTATAGTACTTAAAATAAAAATAGACAATAGGCTTGTTCTTTTTAGCTGAACTTTTCCACTAATTCATTTTTCTTTCTTTTCTCTCTAGGACAAAAAAAAGAGGAAGAAAAATGAACTGATATAAAAATTCAGCTAAAAAAAACAGGCCTTATGAATATTTCTAATTTTCTTCTTGACCATATTCTGATATTTTCGATATACATTGCCGATACCAAAAATTTAGTAGAATACACTCAACGTGAATTATAGATGTTCAGTGCTAGCAATTGTATTATATATCGAAACATGACTTAAATGTAGTGGAATCTGAAACTTAAAGAGGTTAAATTTTTCGCTCATTATCAAAAGATTACCTAAAAATGACAGACTTTAGTATGTGAATCTGCTCCATTCTCCCTTGATTCTCTCTGCTATGAAAACGTTTATCGCGTCGCGATCCATGAAGCTCATCCATGGACGCTCACGAGCCCTTATTCATAATACCGTTCAAAAAAACGTGTTATCATGATACCAGGCGTTGAAAGAAACTGCATAAATACATATGCGCGCGTGACCAACCATTTCACATGTTGTTTGCTCTACGACCCACTTTGGCCACGCTCGGCTAACGTCCGACTGTTGTCTCCCCCTCTCCCTCTCCCTCCTGACCCTATAAATCCGCGGCTGACTCACCACCTACCTTCGCAGATAAGGCAGGTCGCGCAACGTACTACAGTAGATCGATTAGAATAATATTCGTGGACAATGATTCAAAGAAATGATTACAGATTAATTTCTAAAATTGTAACGCTGTTACTTTTTTTTTTGATAACGATCGTTATCTTTTCTGTCTGTAACGATAACTTGATGGTTATATTTTTACAGTAATGCTAACGATTTAGTCGTTACTTTTATCATTACTTTGATTTATATAATAAAATTATTTATATAAAATAATATTATATAATATTATATAAATATTTTTATTATAGTATTTAGATTATTATAGAATTAGAGTTTTTACATAATAAATAATTATGAATTTTTAATAATGTATTATCAAATATTTATGTTAATAATTGCAAATTTATATTCATTGTCGATAATGTTATTGTTCTTCAATTACTTCCAAATCCTTGAGGTAAAAATGAGCGATACAGCGCCACTATTTTAAATATCGATATTTTTGGACTTTTCCCAA